CCCGCGACCCGCGGTGCCAAAGTCGAGCGCTCTACCGCCTACGCCACCGCGGCGCCGCCAGCCCTTCACCCTTGACGCGTGGGCCGCCAAAGCCAAAACAAAGCGGCGCTGCAACTGGTGGCCTCTAGAGCGACACTCGAGACTGTCAAGCGCAGCGCGGCGCAGCGCAGCCTCTTCATCACGACCAGACAAACATGCAGAAAAAGAGTTCAAACAGGAGAGGCTCCGGGGCCGGGACCCTTGGGGGCCCTCGGGAGGTCCAAGGGGCGGGGCGCGGCGGGGCGGGGCGAGGCAGGCGGCCTTCATATCGTGCTTTATCAGTGCGCCAGCTCGTCACGCCCAGGCAGGCTGTGGCCAATCCAGGACTCTGCACGTGTGCGGCGCCGAGTCGCCTTTCATCGCTCTGTCTCTGTCGCACTCGTGGACGCGCCGCGCGGAGAGCGAGAGAGACAGGGACACCAAAATAAAAACTCGAGACGCGCGCCGTCGGCGTCGTCTTTCCGGACCGCCGATCCGCCGCGGTTGACACACAGTGGGCCAGAAGACCGGTGGTGGTGGTGGTGGTGGTCGGAATCCCGGACGCGATTTGAGCTCCAGTCGCAAAACAGGACTCGAACCGAATGTGTGACCCACCAGCGGATTCCTCGTTCGCAGAGCAATCCATTGTTGGGATCACACGTTCGGTTCGAGGCCCATTTAGCGACTCTGCTGCTCAACACGCGTCTTGACTTTTGGCCGCCTGCTGCGCCGGTCTTCTGGCCCACTGTGTGAGGCCAACAAGACACGGATCAAGTACACGCCACATCCGCTGCGACGCGCTGAGGACGCCGAGAAGGGCGTGACTGCCAGACGCACTCGGTCACGGCCGTCAGACTCGTCACAACGGTCCTAGGGGCGTCCACGGCCTCCACGACGCCCGGCCGATAACCGCCAGCCCACTCTGCCGAGGAATCCCCCAACCAAACGGCCCCAAAAGGCCAAAATAAAATCAAAACGAGGCCAACGACTTGGCCGGGATTAGAACCCGAGGCCGGCGATAACACGACTTTTACTGACTTTTTGGACCTCGCAGGCCAAGTGCGACAAGACGGCAACAATGGGCAGGCCACTGTTTTATGCCCCGAACGACCACCGCCATGATGACAATCATCCTCGTATCGGACGCACCATTCATCAACCGAAACTCGGATTCGATAAACCGAGGCTAGCGTCGCGCAGGGAGCGCAGGGCGGGGTAGCCTCGCGCAGGGTAACCCCGCCACATTCCGGCCCATCACCGGACCGATTCCGTCGCTCTCTCTCGCACTCGCGGGGCTTTAGGCGCGAGAGAGACAGGGCGCGTAGCAGCGCAGCACGGCGTCCACCTTTGTCCTTTGTATCGGTACGTACCGGCCGAGGCGGAGGCAAGGGCCGAGCGGACGGCCGGCTAGGATCGGGTGTCGGCCTACACTGTCAAGCGTTAGAATTAGTATTCGCGACGCGCCTCGCTTTGCGCGACTGCTTCCTTTTGAGTGCGGGGCTGCGCAAGGGGCTGCGGGGGCTCGTCAACCCAAGGGCCGTCCGCACACCATCACGATATGCAAATCACGCTCTCACGCACACGCACACACACACACAGCAGACGCAAGCCGCGGCAGCAGCATCCTGGAGGGAGGCAAGGCTGGAGAAATTTTCCTGGATAATTTTCACAACCAACCGTGACCAAATTTTCATTTTTTTGGGGAAGAATTCGAAAAATATTTTTGTAGGGAGAGTTATTTTTGCAAATTTACAAGCCAGTTTTATTGGTCCGTAACGCGCGGTGGGCCATGCTGGCCATGCTGGCGATGAAGCCTCTCTCCTCTCCCGGCTCCCCACAGCCCGACAGGCCCGGCCAGGCCCCGGCAGGGCAGGCGCGATGGCCAGTCATCACCCTTCCCCTCCCCCTATCGGCCCTGCCACGCCAGTGGCCCTGCCTGGACAGAACAGCTTTGTTCTCGCCGCAAATCCGGTCGTTGGGCTGCCAAACGCCCTCGCCTCCCCCCCCCCCCTCCTCGCTCTGCCCGTCTGACCAGAGCATCGCACTGGAGTCCATCTCTCCCTCCCCCCCCCCCCTCTTCCCTCTCCCGCACCGCCTCCGAGCCAAACGAGGGGCCAAAGACTCCGGAGCAACAAGCGCAACACTTCTAGAGCCACACAGTGGACCAGAAGACCGGTGGAGGCGGCCAAAACTCTAGACGCGTTTTGAACTCTAGGGTCGCTAAATGGGACTCGAACCGAATGTGTGACCCCATGGATTGCTCTCCTAACGAGGAACCCATTGGTGGGGTCACACGTTCGGTTCGAGTCCTATTTACCGACTCTGGCGCTCAAAACGCGTCTAGAATTTTGGCCGTCTTCTGGCCCACTGTGATCCGCGCAGATATTTACGACCGAGCCGAGATAAAAATCCTCACAAGCTGCGGTACATTAGTTCCTCTTTTTTCAAGGACACTTGTTTCAATTTATTTATCCCGAGGGCGAAAAAAAAACAAGTTTCGCGGTAAGACACGCGGAGCCACCAGAGGGAGAGAGCGAGAGAGACGGAGAAACTCGGCGGTTTCGAACGAGGCCCAGCTGGGGGCACAGCCACTGCACAGTCGGGATACACGGTCCGAGCCGCTTACAGAATAAACAAAGATGCCGCATGCGTGTGTGAGTGTGAGTGCAAGCGCGCATGTGTGATGGTTAGCATCCATTGCAGCCATCACCGCTCAACCCTACCGAAAAACTTAATCCGAAAAAAAAGAGCCAGCACATGAGTAGCAGTATGAGCTGCGAATGCATTACCATACTGTACATGAATTAGGAAATGCAACTCTGGATTCGACAAATGCACCATCTGCTATCACACCATGTGCACACCGTGCGGGGGAGGGTGTTCGAAACGCGGAAAAGTAAAATGTAAAGTTTGAATCCCATTTTCACACTGTGGCGCGCTGAGCCCTGCAGGCCGGTTCCCAACGGCGTCTCTCTCGCACGCGCACCACACGCCCCGCGAGTGCGAGAGAGACGGGTAGAGCCCCGGACGCCACTGTCACGTTATGACTCAACCCGAATAGGCGCACAGGCGGCCAAGCCGGGGTCTGCGAGGGTCGCCGACCCCGCCATGCCCGCCAGCCGCCATGCCCGCCAGGCCCGCCAGCGAGAAGGGGATGGTCTGGGGGTGGGCGCGGCAGGGCGTGGCACGGCCCTGCCCACTTGCAGTGCAGCCACGCCACGCCACGCCAGGGCGGAACATTCGCAGACACACCCCCGCCACGGCCCGCCTAGGCCCGCCCCTGGCGCGGTGCTGCCGTGCCATTCAGAAGAGTAGCTTCGTCGCGCTGTCTCTGTCGCACTCACGGGGCTCTCCACGAGGGTGCGAGAGAGACGCTGGCGCCACGAACCCTTGCAGACGTCCAAGGTGCGGCCCGGCCGAGGCCCGGCCCAGACAACACGACACCGGACCCTGTCACCCTGTCGGTGCGTGCGTGGTCCGCATACCACGGGGCCTGCGAGCCCCAACCCGACACGGCCTTGATAAGTCTGCAGACTGATTCCGAGAGTCGCCGCTGTCTCTCTCGCACTCACGGGGCGTCCCGTAAGGTGCGAGAGAGACAGAGCGACGAAGGCGACCCTCGGAATCAGTCTGCAGGCAGGAAGCTCGACTGACTGACTGGGCGATACCGCGGCGTACCGCGGCGCGTCGAGTCCTGCAGGCTGAGCCAGGCTCGATCCGTCTCTCTCGCACCCGCGGGGCGCTGCGTGGGGGCGCGAGAGAGACAGAGGGGCCAGGCCACGTCGGCCTGCTCGCACCGACAGTGTGGTGGTGCGGAGCGCACTCCATTCCGAGAGTAGAGCCGTCTCTCTCGCACGGCGACACAGTGCATGCGACGACACAGTGGCGTTACTCGTCGCGCCGCGACAAAGTCGCAAATTATTTTCCAGTGAGAAAAAGGGGGAAAGGGCACTCGAGAAGTGTTGCCCAGAGGTACACAGTGGCCAACGCAGCCCAGGCGCAGCGCGCAGCGAGCAGCCAAAGGGAATAATTGTGGGGCACTTGGCAGACAAAGAAGCGCAGGGCTGGGGCGGTACGGGCGGTACGCGCAGTCGCGGCGTGGCGGGGCAGGGCGGGGCGGGGCGGGGGGTGGCGAGGCGAGGCGAGGCGGGGGGTGGCGCCGCCCCGGAGCGCCACACCCACAAACCCACCAAACCCTGGCCAACACAATTCCGCACTTTCCGCTCCAGCGTCTGCACTGGACGCTTTTTAACGAAACTCTGCTTTATCCAGTGGAGATTTCGAAATCAAAAATCGAGCCAGTTCAAGAGTACGGCAAACAGGGGCCAGTGAAATCGAAGGGGCGCAAACAACAGTGGGGGGGGGGGGGAAGAATTAGACTACAGAAATGGAAGTGAGGTAGAGATCGTTAATGATCATTGTAGGATAGAAACGGTAACGAAAAAGGTTCTCTACCATCCTACAAACATAAACTGATTAAAGTGACAGAAACTGACGCATATATTTAGCCCACTCTCACAGCAGAAAATTGCTGCTTCAGACATTAAATGTTTTTTAAAAAAATATTAATATTTTTATCTACCCTTAGCTAATTTTTTTAGCAGGAAACTGGTGCGGATCCGATTGGGATGCGAACAGTCCGTACATTTCTCGGTTTCCCGGAGTTTCCCCTCGACAGAGCGGGACGGGGATGAGGAAACCAGTGCACCCACTTTCACTGAGGATTTTGGCGCTGCTGGCCGGGGCGCAGGAAAACCAACCAAAAGTCCGTGCTGGGTTTCCCACCTTCGGTTTCCAGAGCGGCGTGGGGAGCCGGTCGCCGGCTGCCCAGGCCAGACAGCCCCGAGCCCGAGCGCGAGCGCGGTCCTGGTGGCAGAGCTCCTTGCGAACACGCTGCCGGCACCCGCCGGCCGGCACAGGCCAGTCCTAACCCCCAAAACTCAAAACAACCACCGCCCGGCCCAGCACTGTGTCAAACTCACCGAATCAAGTCCTTAGGGGGAAAGTCCTGGACGAGAGCTTGCCTCGCCGAATCCGCCCGGTTAGCGGGAACACTCAGAAAAGGCGCAAGTTTGCACTGCGCTAAGGGGACGCCGGGCCGCTAGCGACTAACGGCTAACAGCATCCAACTTGCAGATCACTCCACTGTAAAAACCCGGCGCGCAGCTCAGCACTCGTCACTGGGCAGTGTTCACGCACTCCGACAACGTTCAAGGAAATTTAACAACAGCAACCCACGCACAACACGGCGGGACGCGACTGCTCCGGTCTGGCTGGCACGACTCAACTGAACTGAACACGAGTGGCGTGGCGGCGGCCGGCTCGCTCCCTACGCTCCTGCACTGCACTTGACAAAATGCCGGCTCCATGCTCCCCTCCCGCCCCCTCCGCCTCCCCTCCCTCCTTCCCGCGCCGCGAGCCGGCACGCCGACCAATCACAGGCCGCCTCTGGGCGGACGCGAGCACGGCTGCCAACCGACGAGTTTGAATTCAAACGCACGGGGCAAACCGGGGCGATAGCTCGGAAAAGCTCGGCGGAAAACGGGTGAAAACGCAGCAAGGGCCCGGGCAATCGCGCGGGAAGACTCCGCGAGTCACCAGATTGTGCAGAAACTGGATTATAAATAGAGGGTGTCGATACTCTCACCTCGAGAGACTCGGGCGGGCGGCTGGGCGTGGAGTATCGCCACGCGACCTAGAATCTCCCCAAGCAGGGTGTAATGAAAACTACATCTTGGAGCTCGATAATGGTGGATGGTGTGGCTACTCACTGGGTAAGGAAAACAAAACTGGCTTAACCATCTTGTATCAATTTTATTGATAGTTGTAAAGCATAATGAAAAGAACAAAAATAAAATATAATTTTGAACCAAACTTACAACTTTAAAAAGATCCATTACAATGTGAATTTTTAAGGCACTAAAGCAATGTTAATTTCAAACATGTAAAATTTGTAAAACATGCTACCTTTCTAAAAATCAATGACAACATTAAGTTAAAATTTCCTAAACTTACAAATGATCTGTAGATCATTACTGAGCAAAATACAGTTTACAGTCCTATGGAATGTATATAGGCTCCTTACACTATAGGCTTAAAGCTCATTAGATGGTGCAAAGCTTCATTTGAAAAGTAAAAACATTTTGGTGGACAAATTTGAACATAACTGGTCATATTAGATTAGGTTGCACATTAGAAGGAAGACAATTGTGTTAAGTAATCTAACAGACTAAATACATGTAGAGTGAATGCTTCAAACTTTTATAAATCCTAAAGACAAAAAAAATGTCTTAGAATAAAAACAACTTAGAATGAGTTTGCCTTAAATATTTGTGCATCTTACAACTAACAAATTTGAGAAGTAATGATGACTGTTAATAGTGATATTGCATAGCTTATCTTTTGACTAAGACTAGACCAGCATATGCCTTCAATTGAACACATTGTACGATAAAGCTGCGACAAGTAGTAGGACAGGAAAGTGTTATTTTTTTCTCAGCACACTCAGATCTTCTTACTTGCATAAGTGGATAGTACCAAAAGACTATAATTAGAACCTTGACAAAGAATCATTATTTTTAAAGCATCAACAATAAGTTCTTCCATAAGTTTTTGCATTCAACTTGCAAAATAGAAACTGCAATATGAATATATTCAACACTACAGCTTCAAATAAACTTTGAACCAAGATAACAAAAAAACACAGGGAGTGAAAACAAAAATAAAAGGAAAGAAAAATTCATGCTTTTTCTTTTAAGGTTTTGAAATTCACAGGAACTCTAAAGGCATAATTTTGATTGTCATTATCACAAGAGCGCAAAGCACCAATTACATAACACAACAAGCCATAAAAAAACATTTCCTATTGCAGGGAATGTACCATTGGAATGGTAGACACTGTTTCTCTCAAAGAGAGTGGCAAGAATAAATTATACAGGTACACTGTGGTTAATCTCTTAGTAAAGATATTCTTTCCAGTGAGATAGTCATCTGCAGTTGCCTTTGAATTGAAGATATTTTCCTTTCTAGATCCCCAAATAACAGTTGGTTTGGAAACAAATTTTGACATTGTGTCTGAAACATTTCTTTCACTTAAGTACTTCATGTACCTTCCAGAAAAGTACCTAGTTTTAAGAATACTGACAACTGCTTTAGGTAGAGAGCAAATCAGCAGGTCACATTTCAGTATAAAATGTTGGTCTTGCTATACCCAAAAGGCGGAACACACTTGGCATTAAATACGTGGTGTTAAAGCCAACTAGAACAGATGTAATAAATTTGTAACTTAATTCAACAATATTTTTTTGATGGTTGTGGACGGAGTAGCACTGTTTCTTGATGTCACTGGCATTCAGTCTTAGGAGAGCACATATAGTAGCATAAGACGCCCACTTACACCACGCTCTGGTGGCTAAGACACAGCTTAATCCAATCACAGTTCTTAAAATGCCCAAACCTGTTGAGTAAATCAGGATTAGGACTATTGTACATGAGTGGTACAACTAGTGATAAGATGAGTCTTAAAATGAAGAACATACCCATCATTTCAAACGAGGGCCACAAAATTGCATACGGAGGTGGAGTAGAAGGCTCTCTCATTATTCCAAGTTGAAAGTTTGTCCAGGAACCAATATGAACACCAGCAGTTACACTCAATATCATAGCAGTGTCTCCTCTGCAGGATTGAAGGGAAAAAAAATTATTATTGAAGCACAGCTACCTAGCAAATTAAAAGACAAAACAAGAAGTGTTGCAAATACTATATGTTTGAAAATTACCTGGTCGGAGTCCAGCGATCACCTCTGCGAGGGTAGAAAACAACCATGGCGATAGACACAACTAAGAGTATGATTGGTGACCATCGCCAAGTCAATAAAGTGTAATCCAAGTGATCAACCAGAGGAATCAATGGGATTAACAAGGCAATGGACAAGCCCAGTCCAGCCACAATGTCCTGGTAAACAATTCAACATAAATGAGCCAAGATAGATAAAAACAGCATTGACCCTTTGGAATTAATTAACATGATGATCATTGGTCACTCACCAATACGGTATGCATTCCAAGATAAACTCGACTAACACAGATTAAACTGCACCATAGAAAAGCAATAATGACACCTACTGCAACTGGATACTGTGAAAGAAAATGTAGGTGTTAAAGTTTACAAAGGTGTGAACTATACAAATAAATTACAACTACAGTGATCAAATTCCTACCTGATATCGATCCATAGTGTACAAAAGAACAGAGAAAGGGATGGATACAGCTACCATTGCATGAGTTGATGGCATTCCATATTCAAGCGCCCACTTCTTCTGCAAACGCATAGCAGGATACCCAGGGCGGGGCCAGCAAACCAAATCTTTGATACCCTGACCTAAATTAAAAAGACAAAGTTCAGAAAAAAATCAAGTCAAGAATATTTGTAAGGATTTGAAATTTATCAAAAAAGAAATTTTAAGGAGAATTTACCAATATACATGTTAATGCACCATACAAGAACCATGCGACGGCCAACTGCGCCATCAACGTTCCAAAACCAAAAAGGAATGAAAGTGGCATAAAACAATTCATCTCCAAGAGCAGTTCCAAGTGTAAACAGGTAAAACCAGAATTTGTTGTTGATTCTAAAGCCACAAGCTTCTGAATCCACATCAGATGAGAAATTGTCTTCGGAGTCACTATCCTCTTCGCTGATTGCAGTAGCTGTTGGTTGCTCTTGAACTTCAGGAGCTCCATTTTTCACATTTCTTTTATGAACAGTGCTATCAGAACCATTGGCTTGAACGGATGTCTTGAGAACTTCAGTAGTCTGTTTCGAGGGTGTCACCCTTTCAACACCAAAGTACGCTTGAACTTCTGCCACAAGGGCAGGGTCTTTCAAATGTTCGATCACAGTACTAAGGACACCCATGATGTCTGCTGGAAGTAGCTGAAAAAAAATTGAAAGGTTCCATTTAATATTTCAATGGTGCAGGCTTCTCATCAGACCATTTCTGGGAGTTTGCAAACCGAAAGAAATGTCAGTTTGCCAATGGTGTACAACTTGAACATGACAATAAATTTTGCACCAATATTAGAAGTTCAATAATACCGCGGTAAAAACCGGAGCATCCCTACCAAATCATATTTGAAGATATAATTTTTGACTCTTTACATAAGAGTTAAGGAAACAAACCTCCAATGTCCATAACCCTTAAGTCGTCGAGTCAAGTGATTCATTTGGATCGAAATATTCACAAACACAAATGGAACTGATTATCTCCGTACACATAAAATTCATTTGAACATTTTCTCCCTTACCTAAATTACCCGTCAAACCTTGCGAAACACGACTAAACAAATTTATGTTCAGATAGCAGACAACCCCTTGGACAGCGCCATTGCCAATTTTGAACGAGAGACTGGCGCGCCCCTGCCGGCAAACTCGTGAACCACACGTGAACCCGCGAAACTCTGACCCCGCTCCACCGTGGAATGACCGTGACTGACTGAGCGAGCGCAAGGCGAGCGTCTCGGGAGAGCAGACGCTACTTTACCTCGGGGGAAAGTGTCACTCCGAGGGAAGTGTCGAGCACACTGCAATCTACCGGCTCATGGCGTGAGCGGCGTGAGCGCGGGGACCGAAATGTACAGTCGCCTTCGTGCAGGTGCGCTGGTGGCGTTCGTGCCAGAGTACGTACCGGCCTCGCTTAATCTGAGCCCAATCAGTAAGCACACACGTGGCAGCACACTGGTACACTGGTACAGCCGCTGTGTAGCGGCCCTGCGACCCTGCAGTCGGCGTCGAAGGCACCAGTCGAACTGGAGACCGATCCAGAAAGTCCCTTTTCGTCGCTCTGTCACTTTCGCGTCTTTGCAGCGCGGCCCATGAGTGCGACAGAGACAGAGCGACGAAAACAGCTCTCAGAATCAGTCTGCTGGCCACTCAAACCCATTGACCCAACGGGTGACCCCATTGCTTCTGTTTGCGTCTCTGTGACCGCGTGACCGCCTGCGTAGAGCCCTACATCCCCTTGAGGCTCTACGCTTGCGGAGTCCGCGGTAGGCAACCGTTCGTACGCGGTAGCGCAGTGTTGCCTACCTCGCGGGCAGGCGTGGCCCTTGGACTTCCCTAAGTGTTGGCGCAAACACTGCAGCACGGGGACAAGGCGTCCTTCCCCGAGACGCGCAAGTTGCCATGGGGATCGGTCGACCAAACAGGACACACTACTAAATGTTGACGTTTCTCCTTAGCGCTCGCAGCAGAGCGATTATCCCGCACAGTGTTTCGTTGCTCTGCCTCTCTCTCTCTCTCTCGCACCCCTGCGTAACTGCACATGAGTGCGAGAGAGACAGAGCGACAAAAGCACTGTTGGTTGGATCCAGCCTGCTGGTGGCTCGCTCGCAGCACTATCAGTGTGCAAGAGGATGCGATTCGAGAGGTGTACTCTGACCGGTGCCAGGTGGGCCGCTTTTTTACTTTCGGCCACTTTCGGCACTGTCCTACGCAGCAGGCTGATTCCGAGAGTCGCTCTGTCTCCCTTGCACTCATGGGGCGTCCCGTGTAGGTGCGAGAGAGACAGAGCGACCAAAACGACTCTCGGAATGAGTCGCAGGCGTCGCAGGTGGGCTAGCGGGGTCCTTGGGGTGACCCTTTGACACCTGTGTAGCAGACAGTAGACGCAGTTTGGTTTCGGTTTATCGAGCGCACAGCGCACCGACCCGACGCCAGACAGCGTGCCCTTGTTGTTTTGCGGTACGGAAAGCTCACGGGACGAGGCCGCGGGACTCCACCAGAAGGCTGACTCCGAAGCAGCGCTTCCGACGACCCATCTCATCTCCCTTGCACCCATAGATGGATGGCAGTCAGTGGTGCCGCGTGTCCAAAAACCAGCGAGCCTAGCGGCGGGACAGATCGCAATCTCAGGACCAGCGATGATTGGGAGGCTCGCATCGCTACGAGTACGCAGCTGAATAAATGGGGCAGTGGCCAAAGACTGTCTACAAAATTCCAGTTAAATTTGCCTTTATTTAAAATTTACAAAAAAAAGAAAAAAGTTTCAAATTATGTAACAATAATAAATGAGACTGTAAAGTTTTATAAAAAACATGAATAGCCACAGAGCATGGTTCAAGTTGCAGGTCCTTCATAAGCACTTTAGGTCTAAATTTTATCCATGCATAATATCGTGCATGCAGTTAAAAATACATAAAATTCACAATACATAATATTTTTCTTGTAGAAATATCAAATATGACACAGGTCAGGAATAAAGCAAACGTCATAATGGTACTAATAGTAATCCCTCCGAAATAACAAGCACAAGTCAAATTGAGTTTCATTCTCTCTACACCAGAGCCACTTAAAAGTTGCTAGCACAGGAGCAGGTAACATTTACTGATATGCAGATGATAATCAATGAATTAAATGGGCAAGACAAACAGAATTCCTAAAAAAAGCGAGCATGTCAAGAGATTAGCAAAACCACAATTATCACCCAAGACGAGCCACAATCTGAAAATTTGTGTGTGAGAAAGATGACCCTCTAATTATGCGTAATTACATTAAAAGTCTAACAACAACCTTTAGTTCAAATTTCTAACTTCTCAAAGAGACGACATATACCCTCACCATCTTCATTTTCTCCACCTTCTTTGAGATCAGTTCACAAACAAAAAACCCTCAAACATACAAGCCATTTAATAGTAACATTAACAAATTATTCAGTCGGTTGTACATGACAATACTCAAAGATTCATGTCTTAATTTGTGCCATTAGCTTGTGTAACAGAATGACAAGCGTGTGAAATGCGGCACTGACACTAAAACAGTACGACTACAAGATGTACAACAACTGTACCTCTAGATGGTGACCAAGGAACTACACAAAACCCCCTCATGAAATGCCAATGTTATTCTGACAAGTTGGAACTAAACATTCCCAGATTAGGGGCAAGTTAGCAAACATTTCAAATTTGAAAACAATATGGAATGACAACAGCACAGCCCATAGCCCCTCCAGCTGCTGGACCCTCAAGTTTTGACTCTTATGCCATTGAGGGATACTTGACCAACATTGCTTTGGAATACAATTCTCACAACAGTTGTCTAAAAAAAAAAAAAAAAGAAAAAAAAAGAACAACCCCATTATGTAATTCATAGCTAACATAAACACAACCTAACAAAATTAAAATCACTTGTAGTAGGAGGTTAAAACACCAGCGCAACAACAACAATTACTTCAAGTTTACTCCAAGTACCTCAAAGGAATTATTTTTGTTTGCAAATATATTCCAAGATCACAAATAAGAACATAATACCACCATCTGTAAATATTTTCTGACATGCAAAAGCAGATAGTGCAAATACTATTTGACTAGGAAAGATTTATCTTCATATATAAATAATTATCAATATGTACAATCAATCTACGCATGAACAGAACAATGGAAATCAGGAAACTTTACACAAATCACGATTCGTCCCAATCTAGTGGATGGTTCATCGATCAAAACCTTTAGAGTTTATTATAGGGAGAAATCTGAAGGCCATACAAAACAGTGTCGAATGAACTAAGGAAATTTTATGTACACTTAAGGTTATACCCTGCTAACTACAGTTACAAAACCCAAGAAACTGGGAGTATTAAAGTAGTTGCATCTATCTTCATGCATGAAATGTACAAACAATAACAATCTGGGGAAGACCTACACTTTGTTACTGTACAATGTGTAAAGATTCAGATTTGGGAGACCACATAAATTTTATACTACACAATGATTATCACACTATGCTTTCTTCAATAACTATGCACTTGTCAGGAGTATGTCAGAAAACAATAATAAAAGATATCTTTAATGACAAACGGGGTTGCCATCTGTCACAGGTTGGTATTTAAATGCCTTAAAATCACTGAAGACATGCAAGTTTAAAACTTGAACAGTGAAATGACTATCATAGGTCCAGAGTAAATCCTGGACTAGAGAAGATCATGGTGATAAGATCTCAAAGTATTTCAGTGTATTTAGGCTTTATATCACTCAATAATATAGATTTGACTTCATGAACCCTATGAAATATGCATGATACCACACATAGATTGACACGAGTCAAAGATATTTTATGCAATCGGAGGATCATCATCTAAGTCACCACCAACAAGAGCCGTATCGTAGTGCCGGATTCTTGGCTGTCTCAAGCGATCAAGCCATCCATTACGGCGACCTAAAACAACCAGCACTGCTAACCCAACAAAGAGAAGAGGAACAAGAATTCCAGCTGTAATCCCAGCCGCTGAAAAAAAAAAAAAAACTGTGTTTTAAAAATTTAAAGTACGAACAGTAAAAATAAAATAAAGTGATGAACTCACAAGAAGACGACGACTTGGTGTCGGAGTTGACTTGAGCGGGTGTAGGTAGCTGAGGATGAGGTTTTAGAGGGATGCAGTAACCATCCTTATTTCTCTTGTGGTTCTTAAGACAGACACATAATCCATTTGGAGAGCCACCTTCGGTTGAATTAGCAGGGTGTTGTATTTCACAAGTTTCTCCAACAACACATTGATCGAGTACTGCAGAGAAGCATGGTCGAGCTGGAAGAGAACCAATTGCAGTTAGTGGTCAATGGACAACTTGAGCGGTGACAAACAAAAATGTTCGGATAAAAGAATTAAGATATCGTGTGATAAGTAAACTGACACCAACATTAACTGAACAATACAGAAAGAAAAAAGAGTTTCGTTCGGTACATGATTTGAAAAATCACAAAGTTGTTTTAGCAAGAATGAAAGCCTATTATAAATCCTGGATTAGTGATGTTAGAGTCACTTTCGGAACCTAACCTATTCGTATGCTGTCGACTCGGTCATACATCCATCTCTCTATGACTAAAGGATGCACTTAGGCACGAAGACCCTGTCCTGCCAAAACTCACCTTTGAATTCACTACACTGGACTAGAAGTACGAAGGTCAGGAGGCCCACAGCGGTGCAAACGACTTTGGTGTGACAACTCATTTTGGAACCGCTCCGTCACTTAATTCAGCAGCCGAAAGGATGACAAGAGTCTTTACATCCTTTGCTTAAAAAGTCAATGCACAATGGAAACAAACAGCGAAGTCAAAAAATTCCGGCGTATGATCTTGAGCTGCTGGCAATCAATTCAAGTCGTTGAAGAAATGATAAGACGACTACTGAATAAATAAATTCACAATATCATCCAAAATTCATCCATTCGTCACAACACAACAGACAACAGATTAAGGTATGAAAAGCAAAACGCCCCTTTCTTGCAACTAGTCTCGCTTCACGCCCATTTCAACGAACTGCAATATGAATCTGGATCCAGGAGGATCTGCTGCCACTACAAGCAAAACTCAATAATGGCAGTAATTAAATTGCGTTCTAATACAACATCATCATTTGATAAAATATTTTAATGAAAATTCCTTGCAGTTTTTGGACGTGAACAAGTGCTAAGAAAAGTGTGAAAGGAGTTCGTGGAATTCATTCGCAGCAGTTGGCTAGATTTCAAAGGGACGATTCGCTGCCAACATGACAACAATTAAAGCACAACACATCACCTCACATTACGTCAATCATGAATTTATTGGGCAGTGTTAATGCTGCTTAGTCCAAACTCAGTAATGGGCGAGTGCTGAAGCCCCTTCTTTCATTCGACTTTTTTTTCGCTCCTGAAAGCCTTCTGTATCACATTTGTTTTTTTCGTTGTAGGCTTAAGCCTGCGCTTTATCAACAAACTCCCTGCAACACTAGACAGCTAAGTCTTAAATCGGTACGTTTTGCTGTAAGTTGGTCTTTTGAGGGCGATTTACTGCTTTTACACTTGTTTGAATTTAATTTTGATCCTCCTGCCTGATCCTTTTGTGAGAATTTTGGTGAAATGGCTGTTAAAAATTGCCGTGAAATCTATCATTGATCCTACCATTCTGTCCTACTAGTCGGTTTTTTGGTTATGTGCTCTGTCTGCACCAAGTACGAATTTTCAAATTACTGCACTGTCGTTTTTCTTTGTCAGTCTTCATTTCCTTTGACGGATTCTGCAACCCTGTGCTGTGTTTTCTGTACCCGGGCCGCGTGCTTTGTCACTTGACTCATTTCAGTCTTGACACAGTCTGTCAATGAATATGCAAAATCATGTACTTGTTTTTGCATCCGCATTGTCGTGAAAGTTATAAATTTGTTTCTCATGATCTCAGCTTCTTAATCCAACATTACGATATTCTGCTCAACCTCATGAAATCGTAACTCTGTTGTGCTTGTGATCCTACGTCTTGAGTCCAAGATCTTGCCTACATTGTTTTTGTCACCTTTCTGCTTAATTTTTTGCTGTATTAAATCATTGAATTGCAGTCAAATTAGTCGGCCTTGCGTTCTGTCATACTTGAGAGCCAAATGTTATATCATTTGCTTTGTTTCTATGTGAGTGCTATGCTACTGCAGGCCACCAACATAACATTAACCCCTAATCAGCTTCCAAATTTACATTTTGTTTCAGCAGGTGTTACACATTAGCGCTTTAATCATCATGGATGAATCAAAGGTAACTCTCCAAAGCCTGTACAAAACTTCTTAACAATTGGGCTAGTTATCAATTCATGCCTGTGAACGTGTTGATTACCCTCCAATGGAAATGAATACCCTGTTTCTGGTTGATTTCTATATTGTAGGACACCCTATCACTTGTTCCCAATGATGCCCAAGTCGATGATGCTCAAGATGTTAACCTGTCCATAAATCTAGAGACTGCTCTCTTGGGGCAAGACAATGTTGACGTCAGCCCCGACAGTGGTGACCGGGGTGACCCCCTTGGCCCTCCTCCCGACCCCCTGGCTCCCCCTCTCATATCGGGTTCCCTGCATGCCTCGGAAGTTTTGGTTGGTGGTGAGGACATCAAGTCCACAGCACAGTCCCTTGATGTTAGCCAAGCTGAACCAGAGCAAAAGGAAGACGAGCTGGCAGCCCCACGTCAGAGTGGTGATTCTGGTGCTGCCCAAAGTGGCTCTCATAAGTTGTCATCGGGAGAAGACAAGCTCTCTGATGCAACTGCTGACATGATGGTTAATGCCCCCATTCATTACCCTCATACTACACGTTTCCAATATTTTCAACTCCTGTCATCTTTCATATACTTAAGGTTTTCTTTTTCTTATGTGTAAACAATCTTTGTATCTCAAAAATTGCAGGTTGAAGAAATGGACGAGAAAATTTATGGCGGATGCGAGGGCCCTAATGCCATGTATGTGAAGCTTATATCGTCAGACGGACATGAATTTATTGTAAAGAGAGAGCATGCTCTCACTTCTGGAACCATCAAAGCTATGCTCAGTGGACCTGGTCAATTTGCTGAAAATGAGACAAATGAGGTCAATTTCAGGGAAATTCCGTAAGTAAAAATGGTCTTACTTTTGCTAATGTGTGTCAGAATTTTAGTAATGTCATTTGTTTCTGAAAATTTTTAACTAATTGATTTTGTTTTACAGGTCACATGTTCTTCAAAAAGTCTGCATGTACTTCACCTACAAGATACGTTACACAAACAGCTCAACAGAAATTCCTGAATTCAATATTGCTCCAGAGATTGCCCTAGAACTGCTCATGGCAGCTAATTTCTTGGATTGCTAAGAACTATTAATGGAACTTTCCTGCCAAATTTTGTATGACCATTCTCACTATCCCTGGCTTATTTCATAATGTTTTACTTTTCATCAAAAGAAGCTTGATATGCCTCAGTGTCAAAGCAAAGAGGTTGAATATGTGGCAGTGTTAAGTAATAGTCTCAAAGCAGACATCCCCAACTGTTAGCCTGAGACACAATGAAAAAGGCGGGCAAAATTCAGTGTTTTACAATTTTTTTGATAACCTGCATTCCTGTAGGGTGAACATTCTATGTGTTTGGGATATTTAGTCTTACTTCATCTGAGTGTGCCCTTTCTGTCTCTTGTCATTGATGACAAATTTTTACTTCATAACTCCTTGAATTAAAATCTGCCTTGTGTCCTGGAGTCTCATTTGAGTTATGAATGTGTTGTCCTTTGTACTGTCCTATAGCTTACTGTGAGTCCATCTGAATTGCTTCAACTTTCTTATTCCGTTCTTTTCAAAAGCATGTCAGAAATCATCTGATGCATTTTATTGAACATTTTTAAAAAAATTAAAAATCTCTGTATGAGTGTTTTGTGTGTGCACGGGTTTGTGTGTATATACGACCAGTCTTGGTAATATTTATATGTATGGTGATCTTTGTTTCAGTTTTAAGAACATCTCTCATTTGTGTTGACTTTGTGTTCATCCATGTTCGCTGAGAAAAGTGTTAAAGCCTTACACAGCTGAACAAGTCATGTATTTTTGTAACACAGGGGTCTACTAAGCTAAATCTGTGATTAAAGCCATGAGTAAATAAACAAATCTCTCAAGCCCTAAAATTGTGTCATTCCTGTTTACCTACTTCCTTGTGTTAGAGAAGGATAACCATGAAAGAACACACAATTTGTTGTTTCAGTATCAATTCTTTAATGAACTTACATCACTATTGACAAAACAAAAGAAATAAACTTACGTACTCGTCAAATTATGCCAAAAAGGAAGGACCTTAAATTTTTATTTAATTGTTCCTACTTCCATTACATTGCAGCACCATTTCTTGCAAGCTCATCAGCTCTCTCATTCCCATAAACTCCCTCATGGCCTCTGACATGAACCTGAAAATTCAAACTGGTTTACAAGCAACCCACAGAAAATGTGAAGTCCATTAAAACAGATTGTCATTTGAACTTGCCCATTTAACTTCATCCAAGTCTCTGCAAGCTTGTTCAAGAGCCAAAATTTCATCCTTAACAATAACAGGTTCATTCTTCACAGTCTTCCAATTCTTTCTCTTCCATCCATCAAGCCATTGTGTCATGCAACTAATCAAGAATTGAGAGTCTGTCATAATGCATAACTTGCTGATGCCTAGTCAAAGGAGAGAGGGGTCAGGTCCTTTCTATTTGATGTTACTAGATTGCCACTCCCAAAACTACCACTCACCAGCGTGAGCTGCAGTCTGCACAGCAACTGTTGCAGCTTCAATCTCAGCAGAATTGTTTGTGAAACGTCCAGTAACACCTTTTGACACATTCCTGTCCCAAAAAAGATAAAGAAAAAAAGCTTAACATTTTCTGGCAAGCATCTACCAATATAAAAGTAATTAAAACTGATGGACAATTACAATGGATGTTGGTCATTGAACCAGACCCCAATTCCGGCTTTAGTAGCATTAAAACCATTTTTGGGGCATGCACCGTCAGTGTATACTATGACAAAGCCATCAGAGTCAACTTTGAAGGGAGGAGCCTGGTTTGAAGATGTCTTTAACAGAAGAAAAACAAGTAAGATAATTTATCAACCTATAATGTCCTAAATAGATATATTTCTAGAAAAGCAACATACATCACCATCGAAGGAACTTGAGTCTGAATTCAGGGCAGGGTCCTCTTCTGAACGAAGTCTCTTCAGAGAAGATGTAGAGTAATTTCTGTGCGGGGAGTTAAAAAAGGCAGTTTTACAGTTGAGAAAATGATTTAGCTATCACTGGTGCACTAAAATGAGTGAAAGTAAGTTTAATACCTTGAATTAGGTTTGATTAGTTTAGTTGCTGAGTCTAATAGCTTGCGTTTGGTGGCACTCATCCCAGAATCACCTGCTTTAGATGAGCTGGAGTCAGACTCTGTTTTTTTAACATTTTCTTCTTTCTTCTCGCCGCCTGTATGTGCTCTATTATTCTCCAATGCTCTCAATCTTTCCTCGAGAGATCGAATCTGAGGGCATCAAAAAATTATTGATAGACAAGCAGTATTCAGATGAAGCAATGGCAAAATAATATAGTTTGTACCTTTTCTTGATAAGTATTTTCCAAATTGGTCAGTCGTAAGTTGAAGGCAGCAAAGTCGAATGTATTACTGGAGGCGTCTTCAGGTTTCACTTCGATTTCCATCTTGCTTTGTTTGGCCAGCGGGGCACCCTCTTCAGAGTCCGACGGCTTGACAGATTTATTCCGGAACTGCTTCACAAAGTTCCATGCACTTTCTTTGTCTTCAAACCTCTTGAACTTAGCTCCCTTAAAGTTGGCAGTCAATTCTTGACATATATTCCTGCAATCAAAGCAGCGTCAGCGAATGATAGAAAGAATAGTGATAACCCTGAAATAGGGCAAACTGCTATCAAAGCTGTTGCCTTCACAAAGTACAATACTTGACGAACGACGATCCAAGCAAAGCGAGAGGGAAGCAAAATGTATCCAGTAATGTGGTTTCCCTTACCATGACTGATAAACTCCTACCTCCCTTCCTCTAGCAACAGCATAGAAAGGCATGATTGGTCTTCTACATTTAAGATTTTTCAATACGTCTTTCAAAACGCTAACACCTCTAGGGCACATAGACGAGTTATTTGACAGATGATTTAAACAGTCGACATACCATGTAGCATTAAATTCAGCCCTAAACAGCAAGATGTACAGACCGACAAAAAGAAATGTGTGCCGAACCTAAACCTTCGCCGTAAAACAACAAGTCTCTTGGCGCAGCAGCAACTTCTCATACCACCGTAGTTCCGATTTATGCCACCGACAGCGCGCGCTGGTGGAGGAGAGGGAAGTGCAAACCACGAGAAGGGACAAAATTCGACAAGGACCAAGGTGAACGCCATTTTCTCAATTTTTATTCATTAACAACAACAATCATAACAGTAATAAAATATAAATATCCACCCAGGGCGAGGAACGAATCTGGAAGTTGAGACTTTGGATGTGCGGTGCCTTGCAGTGCCTTGCCGTGCCTTGCAGTGCGTTGGGCCTACGGACTGAACTGGCCGTTCTTCTGCCAGGGCTTCCGTGCGTGCGCCACCAGCAGGCTGTACCTCGTCCTGACGGTGTGGCGCTCCTTGTCCACGTCGCACAGCCCGGCCGCCGTCGCCATGCACTCGTCGATGAACTTCTCCCTGAGGTCCTCCGGGATGCGGTCCAGGAAGGGGTTCACGGCCTTCACGGACTCTACACGGGGGTCAAAAACGAAGGGTCGTTCCGTTAGCCTCTGGGTTGGCCACTGGGTGGTTGCTGCGAGCCGCGCACAGTGGGCCAAAACTCTAGACGCGTTTTGAGCTCCAGAATCGCTTAGCAGGACTCGAACCGAACGTGTGACCCCACCAATGGATTCCTCGTTCGGAGAGCTATCGTAAAGTGGCGTCACTATCGTAAAGTGGCGTCACACGCTCCGTTCGAGTCCCATTTAGCGACTCTGGAGCCCAAAACGCGTCTAGAGTTTCGACAGCGAGCCCACCGCGCCGCACCTCTGAGGCTGTCCAGGGAGCTGAAGTCGAAGGTCTGCTCCCGGCAGCTGCAGTGCAGCACCTCCAGCCCCTCGGCCGTCAGCAGGTCGTGGAACACGGCGCGAGGGTCCACCACGTGCTGGTACGGGGAGATGAACCGGTCGCTGTCCTGAAAACCGGCAAACCGTCACACCTTGCAACGCTCGCTCCTTGAGTGCGAGAGAGACCGACGGCAGTCACTACCCCGTTCGCGCGCGGCGCCGAGCCGGCCGAGCCCCAGCAGGCAAAGCATGGAGGCTCTCGGGCCGGGAGTAGCGACGCGCCTGAAAGGCCCAAGGAGGGCCGACTTTGAGTGATTCGTACCCGCATGTACTCGCTCCACTCGGGGATCACGGCCATCTTCTCGTACAGCTCGAACACGGGGCTGCGCGCCAGCAGCACGAGCAGAGTCTCCCCGCCGGGCGCGAGCAGGCGGTAGATGTTCTTCACCGCGCCACTGGGGAACGACAACAACACGGTCACAGTTTCGCGATGCTAGTAGACGAAATTCCAGACGCGTTTTGAGCTCCAGAGTCGCTAAATGGGACTCAAACCGAACGTGTGACCCCACTAATGGATTCCTCGTTCGGAGAGCAATCCATTGGTGGGGCACACGTTGGGTTTCAGTCGCATTTAGCGACTCTGGAGCTCAAAACGCGTCCGCAATTATGACCGCCTAGCCCACTGTGGGTCGTTACCTCTGGTCCAGCACCCAGTGCAGGCAGTAGAAGGAGACGACCTTGGTGGCGGGGTAGAGCTGCAGCACGCGGTCCAGGTGGTGCGTATCCTTGGTGCTGATGTCGAACTGGAAGAAGGAGAGCCGGGGGTGGCCGTGGTTCGTGGACGCGTGGTGCACCATCCTGTCGGACAGGTCGACGCCGACGCAGGAGGCGTCCACGGGCAGCCTGCAACGTCCAAGCGTCCAAATAACAACTGCTACTCACAGTGGGCCAGAAGACCGGTGGAGGCGGTCAAAATCCCGGACGCGTTTTGAGCTCCAGGGTCGCTAAACAGGACTCGAACCGAACGTGTGACCCCACCAATGGACTCCTCGTTCGGAGCAATCCATTGGTGGGGGTCACACGTTCGATTCGAGTCACGTTTAGCGATCCTAGGTGGACGTACTTGGGGAACAGGACCTTGGCGGTGACGTCTCCGGGGCCGCAGCCCACGTCCAGGACGGTCTCGCGCGAGCCCCACCGCATCTTGTGGAAGAACTCCTTGACCGTCTCCGTGGCGTCGCGCTTCTGCAGCGGGTTGGCGCCCGCGTACACCCCCGCGTTGTCCATGTCCGGCGACGCCTGGAAGCGAGGAGAGAGCGCTGTGAATAGTGTGCTGCGTGACGCAGACACAACGCTAAACAACAACACCGTTAAAAAAAGATGGGAAAAAATTACGGCAAAAATATATTTTAAGGCTCTGTTTAAAAAAATAAAATAATTGTACTCTACCTGCCGGCAACCCATACAAAATAGAAACGGTGGAGTTTTTCAAAAGAATCGGAGGTTATTTTTTTCTAACAAGGAATACATATTATTTTGTTTAACTGTGCAGAATGAATGTCGCGTTGATAAGTGGTCCTTTTTCACACCCCGTAAAAAGAAAAGACCCGGGCGGCTGGACAGGGGGAAGTGAGAGAGAGGGCAGTGGCGTGGTCTCGCTTCATCTCGCTTGCTCCGGCCACGCTCTGCCACGCTTCACAGCGCTGACAGGCCGACAAGTCTTTTATCTCTCTTTCTCTTTGAGCCTGTTCACCAGACCAAGGGTACTCCCTGACCTACGGGCGGACCTATGGGCGGCCGGCATGCGGATATGTTTACACAAACAAATATTATCTTCTAAAACGCCTTTTTTTCCCTTCTTCATTTTTATAAATGCATTAGTTGATTCTGCACGAGCTTTAAGAAAAAGCGTTCGATCAAGTGCCGCCCCCCCCCCAAAAAAAAATAAAAAATAAAATCGGGGTGAGTTTTTGAACCCCGGGCCACCGGTGGCCTTTTCCCTCCGGGCAGCGTCATTCCGAAGGGTAGCTTGGTCGTCCTGTCTCTGTCGCACTCAAGGGGCACGCCGTAGGGCCGTGGGGCCGTGAGTGCGAGAGAGACGCCAGAGCGGCGTCGCGACTCTTCAGAATCGCTCGGCGGAGCGAAGGAAGCGAAGGCGGCCGGTCGGAGCGCCGTGCAATGGCGAGTAGGCAACACGCCGGGCAGCCGTGTCGGCGTGGTGCCTACACCGCAGGGGCTTTTGGCCGGCGGCCAAAACCCTAGACGCGTTTTGAGCTCCAGAGTCGCTAAACAGGACTCGAACCGAACGAGTGACCCCACCAATTAATTGCTCTTCGAACGAGGAATCCATTGGTGGGGTCACACGTTCGGTTCGAGTCCTGTTTAGCGACTCTGGAGCTCAAAACGCGTCCGGGATATTGGCCGCCTCGACCGGTCTTCTAGCCCACTGTGCGACGTAGACAGGGCACTCACCTGGTGGCTGGGGAATCACTGGGATCAGCTGATGGGAAGGTATCCGTGGTGCCGCACTACCCGTCCAGCTGGTCCTACCGCCAGCTGGCTCCGGATGACTACTGATCACCGAACCGAGGTGCGCGGCCCTTAAGACACCTCGAGCACGCCCCGCCCCGCCGCGCCCCGCCCCGCCCCGCCCCGTCAACTCACACGCACACACACTCACACACGTGCATTCACACACCAGGAAGACGGATTTGGGCGCGACGCTGGGACTGGCCGAGGTGGCCGTCGTCGCGCAGCGTCGCTCCCGGTGGCGGTGCGCTGGCGGTGCGCTGGCGGTGCGCGGGGGCACGCCGACGACGCGCCTTCCCGGACGCCTCCCCAGATGACTGCCGCGATACCTCTCGGCCCGCGGGCTGCCTCCGGGCGCCGCGCTCCGTCTCTCTCGCACTCACGGGGCCGTCCGGCCTGGCGGGGCGGTGCGAGAGAGACGGAGCGACGCGCCGCCGCCGCGCGGACTCGGTTTGTCGCGACCGCCCCGCCGCGGAGTGGCAGGGCGTGGGACCACAAAGGACTTTCTGCCAATGGCGAGGTATTTGCGGACCGAGTTGGGGTTCAAGTGCACGGGCAAGGATGTGGAGTGCGTGTCCCTTGTGCGAGCTCGATGTTTGTTGTTCAAGTGTGTGTGCGCGTGTGTGAGTGAGTGAGTGTGTGTGTGTGTATGTGCACACGTGTGTGCGTGCGCGGTGTGACGGGCAGCAACCCAGGCTGCCTTGTGGCAGGGCAGGGACCCGCACGATGGTTCAACTTGAACGGTACAAGGATGTAGGCCGTGCCGGGCCGTGCCGGGCCGTGCCGGGCCGTGCCCCCAGCCCGCCAGGACGCCAGGCGTTGCCGTGTTGTACGTTTGACTCAAGTGGCGTCCACACCGCCGACTTGCCACAGCAGCGACAGCCTAGACAAGGCGCGCGATAACCGAAAAGCGCCTCGCCTAGGCGAACGGTTATTTGTTTTGAAAACGAGGCCGAAAGAATGCGCCGCCTTTATTTGGGGACGAGGAAGCCGAGACCCCGGGGTTAAAAAAGCAAAACAGGAACTGCGTCAATCGCGGCGACCTGGAGGGGCCACTGCAAGTGCAGGACCGACGCACAGTGGACCAGAAGATCGGTGCAGGCGGCCGAAACTCTAGACTCGTTTTGAGCTCCAGAGTCGCTAAACAGGACTCGAACGTGTGACCCCACCAGTGAATTGCTCGTTCGAAGAGCAATCCATTGGTGGGGCCACACGTTCGATACGCCCTAAGCGCCGTCAAATTAACCAACACTCCCCGTAAGAAGCAGAAGAAGACTCGGTATTCGAACTCGCGCCTCCCCGTTAGGCTTTCTCCCAGTCGAACTTTCTCCCTTTCTCTCTCTCTCTCTCCCTCTCATGCTCCATGACTCACGACCTGACCCCTCCTAGCCGCGGCTTCAAATTAAATTTGAAGCGTCCTTTTATTAAAACGACGTTTGATGTTATCTGTGACGAGACGGGGCCACTGACCCCATTCCTTTGGTCTTCGGCCTGGCTTCGGCCTGGCTTCGGCCTGGCTTAAGGGACATGACGGTGTCTAGGTCAGTTGCGCCCCCCTCCATTTTTATTTCGAATTCCAGCAGCTCTTCCAGGATCCTCCGCTCTCCCGCTGCCGAGCCTCCAGCCGGAATGGGTATTAGGTATTGAAGGCTGGCTGCGGACACAAAGAAATAAAAATAAAACAACAACAAGAAAACATACACGGATGTTCACTGCGCCCTTTCCTGCTGGTCCAGTGTTGCTACATATGCAAGCAAAAATTCCCACGAAGTTGAGTCAATCCGAAATTCCACCGAAGCTCACTAGAAACTGTAGAGTAGAAACTTGGGCTTCGAAAGTCACTCTTATTCCCCGCACGGTCTCACTTTTTTTTGCCCCTCGTCTCACAGCACGGCACGTACACTCTCTCTCTCTCTCTCTCTCTCTCTCTCTCTCTCTCTCTCTCTCTCTCTCTCACACACACACACACACACACACACACACACACACACACACACACACAAACGCGCGCACACATGTGCCTATTCGCTCGCCCTGCCGGCGGTAAACATCATTTCCTAGTGGCGGGTTTGTCCTGCTCTCAGTGACCCTTCCCCAGAAAGGATCCGCGCGGACTTCCCTTGCAGCCCTTCTCTCTGAGACCACACTCCAACCCTTTGCCGTCCTTTGGGCCCTTTGGGCCCTGTGGGGTCAGCTCAAGGACGAGCCAGTGGAGGAGCAGGACAGTGTAGCGCAGTGTGGCCGCACTGGAAGTCCCGCGATACGCCAGTCTCACAGTGAGCCAGAAGACCGGCGCGCCGCCAAAACACTTGACCGTCTCTTCGAACGCGTTTGTGATGGGTTCTTCGAGGCCTCCCAAAGGAGTGTCTTTGGACGCGGACACTTGCAACAGGAGTGTTCTGACCAAGTGGGTGGATGAAAGTTCGCATGGCCGAGCAGTACGTAGAATGAAACTTGTCCAAGCACACTTCTATCGAAACCTTCAAGAAAATATTTTTTGGGGGTAAAGTTACCCCAGTAACAGACTGGAGCAGTCACACTGCTCAGGGGGAGGCGCGGCGGGGTGGGGTGAGGCGGGGGGGTGGGGTGGGGTGGGGCGGGGTGGGGTGAGGCGGGGCGGGGTGGGGTGGGGCGGGGCGGGGTGGGGCGGGGCACGGAGTCTCAGCTTGCTGGCAAGGGTCGTGGGGGGAGCGGAAACATCAATAATACGGGAAGCAGAGCTAGCAGAGCTGGAGACGAGAGCGAGAGAGAGACAGCGGGGGAGGGGGGGGGGAGTCCGAGTGATACGCCCTGGGAGTTCACGAGGGTATAGCGGCGGAGGCGCGGCGCCAGTAGCAGAAGCATGGCTCAAGTGGGGGGGGGGGGGAGCGGTCGAACACTCGCGGGGATTATCGGGGCGAGAGGGTTACAGTGGCGTTGCGGGGCGTTGCGGGGCTGCGGGCGGCGCGCCGTTGCGGTTTGCGAAATTCAGCGAGGGAGAAAACGCGCGGGAAAAAGGGAGGGAAGGACACAAAGGACTCGGAGGAGGAGAGAAGGGGAGAGAGAGAGAAAGAGGGAGAGGGGAGAGAGTGGCTGTAGCTCTGCTCGCTCTGCTCCAGGTGGAACGCATTATTCCACTCCCTTTCCGCTGTACGACCACAATTCATTCTCCCGCTCTCCCTCTCTCTCCCTCCCTCTCTCTTCGAGTCCTCCGTCCCGCTCTCTTCTTATTTCTCTCTGTCGCGCAGCGAGGCGCCCCGCAGGGCCCCGGGCAGAGAGGCAGGGAGGCACAGAGGCCCGCCCTCCACATTTGAAAGATTGTTTCAGTGCCCCCGATGCCGCCTCTGCCTCCCCCCTTCCCCCCCTCTCTCTCCCTCCTCCCACTCGCCTGCCGGGATGTGGCTCCGTCTACTTCAATAGCTTGATCCGCCCACGATTTGGACCCTCCCGAAATAGGTGCTTTGCCGGGCGCGTCCGCCGCGACTCAGGCAGGCAGGCAGCCAGCCATCCAGGGGGTGGAATATCATTGAATGGATGGCCGCCTGGCTGGCCGCCTGGCTGGCCGGAGCTGTAAGGCGCCATCGATTTTCGGACACTTTCTCGGCCACAAATGGAGCCGCGCTTCGGAGATTGAGGTTTGGAATGGTTCTTTATCTGTCAGGAAGCAGATTTTACACAGAGACCCACCCCGATTTTCCTCAGGGGGACAGAGAGGGCTGCAGTTTGAACTCGTTTAAACAGCCCGTCTAGAAGCAGGCCGTTGAACACGTTGTCTTTTCCGTGGCCGTTCAGGACAGGTTTAGACACGGCCTGCTCTAGTCGCCCGCCACCTCAGCCGTCTTCTTTTGAAGTTTTGAAATTGTAAACAGAAGCGAGACGACTCTTCCCGCCCACCACAGTCCGCAGCCGCCACAGCCGTTCAAGTGACCCCAGCCACAAAATAGGCCATAGTCTTTTCAGTCCCTTCCTTCCTTTTTTTCAAGCCCTTTTCGTGTTTGGTTTTACGGAGGAGTTTCACAATGGATAGATCTTTCTTGAACCCATTTCGGGAACGTCAAGTAACCTGGGCGTGACATACTAGTTCGTGGACAATCCTACCCTGCTGCTCCTGCTGTGAAAATTTCCAGGGCTAATTTTCCTCACAAGAATGCCCATAAAACCAGTTGATGACGTTGTCACGTTCATGCGATGCGTGAAAGGCGTTGACAAAAATGGCATCAGAACCTGTCATCATTTGAAAATGACGAAAATGTCATCCACTAGTTTGTTCTAGAGTGACAACAAATGTTTACTACAGTGCAGAATGGAGGGCAGAGCAGCAGAGGGCCAATGCGGGAGAGGCCTCCCTCCCTTTCCCATCCGTTTCCGTTCGCTCTGTGGCACTGCGAAGCTGCGAAGCACTGCGGGCTGCCCGGCGCGGCCCCACCGCGCCCCGCCCCGCCCCGCCCCGGTCCGCCCCGCCCCGCCGCGCCCCATTCGTATCTGCGAATGGGAGGAGGAATGGGACTGCGCCCCCGCCACCCCTCCGCCATTTTGTACGATTGTGCGTCCGTCTGACTGCGTGGCGTGGCGCGGCGTGGCGCGGCGCGCAGGGCGTGGTGGGGGCAGACAGTCGGAGAGTCGGAGGGCGCGGTGGAACGCCATTGGGCAGGACTGTGGTGGCACTGCCGGGGGCGTAACTCCCTTCGCGCCGAGTCCGTTTGTGGGAGTGGCACACACTTCAGACTGGCTTCTCGGCTCCCTGACGGGCTCACTGACTCACTGGAAATCCCAAACGGTTCCCAAATGATTTGTTCAGAGTCGGTTAGGCAGTACGATGAGGCTGCGGGGTTTTTCGAGGGTGTGATGGTGTCTGTGCCGAAGTACCTGCGAGGGGCGCCTGCCCCATCGATTTTCGCCAACTCCCCGTCTGGGCCGTCCGGGCCGTCCGGGCCGTCCAGGTCAGCACGTAAGTTAGACTGCCGCCGTCAAATGCGCTTCCCTTCACCGCCACTGCCATCAGAAAGCAAAAACGCAAAAAAAAAGGCAGAGAAGAAAGGAAAAAGTCATTCTCCTCGGTGCGAGTCCGGGAGCCATAACTTGCCGCCCCACTCCCCGC